CATCGGGGGCGGGGTAGCAAAGGGCGTGGGGGGGGGGGTATTGCCCTGGGCCTCTCTGGGCTGACAACGCACCCAGGAGAGCGTGTGGCTCTGAACGCGGAGCAGCAGCAGCTCATATCTCAGGGTATGTCTAGACTACATGCCTCTGTCGCCAGTCTAGACATACCCTCAGGGCCCAGCACCAAGTGCACAGCACAGCACGTCCCAGGCTCAGCCCAAGATGGAGGCGCAGGGACCGAAAGAGAGGGCAGCGGGTTCCCATCTCAGCTCCAGCCCCTGTGCTCAGTGCACTGGCTCCAGCTGGCTCCAGTCACGTACCGACCCCTGCAGCCTGCCCCCCACCGGTGGGGAGATGGAGCACCGTGCGGAACAGGGAGAATGCAGGACCCAAGGGACTGAACAGACGCTGCTGAAAGAGCTTGAGACGAGACATTAACAGAGGATCAGTCTCCGCGTTACTCACCCGCTGCTGGCGTCTGCTCTGTATTCTGAGCCGTCCACCCAGCGCCAGCGGCCTTCAGTGCCCAGGTCGGTGAGTCCAATCCAGTGGTTTTTTCCCCGGATCTCCTTGGAGAGAAACTCCTGCCCAACACAGATCCCAGCATGGTCAGGCCACCCAAGGCAGGTTGCAGGGGCAGAGGCAGGTGCAGCTGCCTGGGCTAAACAGGCTGGGGAGTGGAACGAGCATCTGGGTGTGTGAGCAGGGCACTGGGCAGTGGGGGACACGGTGTGTGACTCCAAGCGCTAACGGCAGGAGTCCTGGAGCATCTCTGGGTCTCTGTCTTGTGACAAAGCTCTGGGTCTGGGTCTGAGTCTGGATCTGGGTCTCCCTGCAGTAACCACATCGACCTGCCACGGAGAAATGAACCAGACCCAAATCCCCCTACCCCTACCCCCCAGACTCTGGGGTGTCCAGGCCTGGCACCGTGCCCCTGCCCATCTCTGCTTCTCAGCTGATGGGTGGATCCCTGCATCAGGTTCCAGGGCTGGGTATCTGAGCGCAGAGTTTGGCACAAGGCACGTCCCAGGTTTGCTGCATCCAGCCACCTTCTCCTGGCATTAAGCCAGGCCCTTGGTAGGAGAGAGATAGTCAGGCCTGCGGGGCCACTTTGTTGGGATTTTAGGTATTTTTATCACTTAGCTAGTAATCAGGTACGTCTGCACTGTGACACTATTTCCAGATCACTCATGTTATTCCAAAATAACGTCATCCGCATCGACACAGCCGGCAGTTATTTCGAAATAGTGTCAAAGTACTGTCAAGCGGGAGGCCTGCTTCCTCCAACTCCTGCAATCCTCATCGCACGAGGAGTAAGGGAAGTCGGAGGGCGAGGGCTCGATTTCTAAATAAGTGCCATGTCGACGCCCCCAATTTCGAAATAAGCGCCGCAGTTGACGTAGCTCAATTTGCGTCGCTTATTTCGAGATGAGCCCTGCAGGGTAGGCACCCCCACAGACTCAACATGCCAGTCTGACTGTATTTGATGGTCCCAGGCCTTGTCAGCTAGGGCAGCCATCTCCTGAGAAACATAGGGTCACGTCCAGACACATTCTGAACCAGTGCCAGTGAAGTAGGGCAATTTGGGGAGTGAGAAAGAGGATCCAACCCAAGGCCTTCAGAGAAAGGGAGGAGCCTAGACGAGTTAAGGAGAACGTAGGTGGATCGCTCTGTGTCTGGCAAGGACCCACTAATCAGCAGTTGAGTTATGAAATCTTTTCTGTGTGGTTAGGATACTCACTGCTCCGCTACTGGTTATCTGCCCACTTTTGTCTGGTTCTTTGATTGCTTGTGTGTGCGTGTAATCCAATAAAGGGGGAGCGATATGATTGGCTACATCCACATGTTACTCTATGACAATTGGTCCGTTCCATTTCAGTAGAATGATTGGTTAAGGTATAGCTGAAGAGATTACTAGAGGCCTTGGTGGTAGGTAGTCATTTTTTGAGGAGTAACGTTGGTTCAAACCAAGGGGTTTGGTTCGAACCAACGTGTTCCGGCACGCACTTCCTGGTTCGAATCAGCTGTGATTTGAAGTAGCGTGCCAGCAAGATCTCGCTAATGAAGCGCGGAATATTTAAATCCCCGCTTTATTAGCTATTTCGAATGCCTGCATTTGCATCCCTAGTCCGAACTAGGGTGCAAGTGTAGACATACCCTATGAATCTCTGTCTCCCCTCCCCATTTACTATCTAGCATTGTTCCCAGAGATTTTCCTCTGTGTTTTAATTTGTCTTCCTTTGTTGCTCTGTAGCATCTAGCAATCAAACATGCGCTATCAAGTTTATCTTTTGTTTTGTAATAAAAATCACTTTTTTAAGGTGATGATTTATTTCTGGTGTCCTGGAAGGTACAGGAGATTTGTCTGTCTGCCTCAGACTGAGAGGTCAGCTACTACAGACTGCCGCTTGTTTTCCTCATTTCTTTGTTCGAGCTCTCTTAGGGTAAAAGAGCTGGAGGTACCCCTGGGGCTGGGTTCAAGTGTTCACCCCTGGTTTTTAGGGATTAAAATCACTTGATGGTGGCAGCAACCATCCCCTCCCCAATCTGTGTATTGTGATTCTGGAGGGAAATGTTTTATAACCAGTGCCTGTAGAGGCAAGGTTTTCAGGCAAGGTTTTCTCTTGTGGGCCCTCACGTTCCGCATTCGAAGTGCCAGAGTGGGAACAGCCCTTACACTTGCTCATGTGACAAAGGCCATTTGGGGAGGTACTTTTACACAAGGAGAACAGTAGGTTTCCCTCCACATGGGCAAGAGTACAAGGGGGATCTGGAGGCTTCCTCCATATTTGTATTCAGTCTGCTCCTCAGTAACGTTTTTGTTCCCGTCATCGCTCCACCACGTCCGAAGCATCTTTGCCGTGAATTGGACCCGGAAGGACGGATCACCCTCCTAACGCAGGACTAATTCCAGAGGCTTGTAAGCTGGCAGCTGATTACATCTTGACTAAGAGACTGTTCCAAGAACTCTGTGACTGGTGTGTGTGACACGATCTCCTAAACAATTCTACTCTCAGCCTTTTCTTTCCTTTACTAACGAACCTCAGATGCTAAAGGACTGGCCCAGCGTGCCCTTTGGGATAAGCTCTGAGTTGTGAATTGATCTGGGAATGTGGCTGCTCCTTTGGGATCAGCAGATCCTGTTGGGACTTTGTGAGACTGGTTTTAGAACCTCTCACCTGTGTACGTTTTGGCGCTGGATGTGGCACAGGTAAAGCTCGAGTGTCCAATGGGATTGCTTGTTTGACTTCGGGCCGGCCAGTGTGGCAAATAGCAGGGCTCTGTGTGACGGGCTTGGTGCCTTTTCACAATCTTGGGATGTAAGTGATCCTGTTTCTGAGCAATCTGCCCTGATTTGAACCTCTGGACTCTGTCACATTACAGCCTTCAACAGCCTTGAGCCATGGTCCAGGCCCTGAGAGGGTCCTGCACTCACGTGTTCATCCTGGGACGAGACGGAGGTCAGGTGTGAGCCCTGAGACACACAGAACTGCTCAGCCTCATCCCACGACTTCTCTTCTTGGGAGAAGTAATAGAGGTTCCCGCCGTGACACCTCCAGCCTGCAGAGGCCTTTGTCCACACGTCCCCTGGGAGCAGAGACTGGGGTCAGACACCCAGGCTAGTCACAGGGATACCTTCAGGGAGCTCAGGGCTCCTCCTGCTGCATTTCCCCTGCCCCTCGGCTGCCCCAGACCCAGAGAACGTCAAAGCCTGATTCTGCAGCCACTCAGTCAATCACTTCGGGTGTGTCTAGACTGCAGGCTTCTTTCGAAAAAGGCTCTTTCGAAAGCATCTTTCGAAAGAGCCTCTTTCGAAAGATCGCGTCTAGACTGCAGGCGGATCTTTCGATAGAGGAAATCCGCTTTTTCGAAAGAGAGCACCCAGCGAGTCTGGATGCTCTCTTTCGAAGACGGCCTCTTTACATTGAAGAACGCCTTCCTTCGAAAGAGGAACTTTCGAAGGAAGGCGTTCTTCCTCGTGAAACGAGGTTTACCGCCATCGAAAGAAAAGCCGCGTTCTTTCGAAATAATTTCGAAAGAACGCGGCTTGAGTCTGGACGCAGGGGAAGTTTTTTCGGGAAAAGGCTACTTTTTCGAAAAAAGGGTACATTTTTTCGAAAGAACCCCTGAGTGTGGACACAGCCTTCAGTAGCAATAGACAGGAGCCCAGAGACACAGAGAGCAGCCAGCCCAGAGTCCCTCCCCCAAGACAGAAATGCAGCTGCATCTGGGCTGGAGCAGGTGACGGTGCCAGTGCAGAGCAGCACAGCTGTAATGGGAACGGGAAGACTCACTGCTCATCTGAACTGGCGGGGGAACTCAGGCGGTGAGGGGCAGAGTATGTAGCAGCACAAGGTGGAAAAGCCC